TCACATTGTTCAAAAGTGCCGCTAGTGGTCAAAACCCTTACAGGGTACCTTCTAAAATGTCATCTATATCCTTAAAATGAAACTGCCATCCTAAATACAACATTCACTAAACGTCAAATTAGTTAGTAGAAAATGTAGACACAAAACAAAAAGCAGCAACTGTATGTTTAATGAAGATGAACAAAATATCTGGCAGGAAGAAGTTGACGCATTTGAGAATATTGAGGTTGAAAATACCATTACACTCATTACATTTCCTGTATCAAACCACTGAACACATTGACTTATGGGTCTTCTTACTTTGTCCGTCAAATTAACCCTGGCCAAAGACCGGTGATCTGTGAGCAACATTGGAAATACTAAGCAAATCAAGTGCTGCTGTAAAAAGACAAAATAAATAATTGAAATGCAAAGTAAGCTGTGGAGTTCCTTTCAAGTAGCCTATTTATTTCCTAAATACAGTTTGAATCATCACTCTAGAAGGAGCTTTCGTTTCCTCCGTCTCTGACAAAGTAATTAACTGACCTTTGAGCATCCTATCTGCTTTCTTTCCCTGCCTTTGACAGATCTCTTGTAATATTAAAACTCCATGTGGCTGTAGTTCTTTATCCCTAACACATTCTCAAGAGACACACTGCACGGGAATATAGAAGGAATTATTATATTCCCTTTTTCTCCTTTAGCCGGCCCTTTGATATTATGTGGCTCCGGCTCTAAAATCACCCTTGTTTGTGACTTAGAGAAATGAGTGGCCCTGAAATGTTATGCTAACTACACTGGGCTTTATCTGGAAATTGGGAAATAAGGTAGGTGCATAGCCACACAAATTCTTTAAAATACAGCATCAAGTCGTACAAGATATATTGATGGCCTTTTTTTCTTTTCGTTAAGGTCTGGACAATAGTTACATATAGACTTTCTCCAGTACCTCAACACAACTAAGCCTCAAACTTTTTTGACATGAATGAATAGAGCCTCTCTTCTCTGGGGCATTCTCAGTGTTGTTGAGGTTTGTATCATGGCTTGCAAAAAATCTAAAGAAACAAACATCCAAAGATCAACAAGAATTGTAAATCACATCAAAACGGAAAGAAATAAAACAAGCCTAAATGGAGAAATAACTACCTTTCCTGGATTTGAATCTGTAATAGCTGATGTCGAGATTATAAGCCAAATTCAAAGAACGACCAGAGATTTGGTTGTTTATCACCAAATTGCGCTGTAATCCGCTTTATGTCCTGCCTCCTGCAAGCTTTTACCCAGGCACCAGTCTTTGCTTAAACCCAACAGTCAACAGAAAACACTTTTGGTAATCCCCTGTATTTGCAAACTCTGAAAAATGTCCAGATGGGCAATTATGTGCTGTACTATTTTTAGACAGTCACTTTCAGGATTCTCCACTGGAATTTCATTGTAGCAATTTAACAAGATTAAGTGTGTTAATTGGGAAGCTTTATGTTCAGGCTACACAACTCTGATGTCTGTTACAGTCATACATTTTTGACATGACTAGGTCAGGTGGGTTTTGACACTGCCCTGCACTTTAATGCGACTATTCATTAGCGACATGGTCACCAAAGTTAATCCAACCCTTAATATCACAAGCAACAGATCTTTGAACACATTACACAAATGTAATGTTGGCATTAGTCAGACTAGCTAAAAAACTAGCTCAATATCTTTGTGAGCTGTGTAAACATCTAATGTTAGCAAAATAAAATAGAACTACATAAGACAACACACAAACTAAGGAGACAGGAAGTTTATACCATTTCATCCTATTGTGCTGCCTGTGATGTGCCGTTTTAAGTTAGAGAGCATCTTTTGTCATAGTCAAGGACTTGGGGGAACACCTTGTGTAGTCCAAAAAAAATCAACATTACTGTGGTGTACCAGATGCAGCGTAGGGTGTTGTCTACTATGACAGAACACAAGATCAATTGTCATGTCTGAAGCCCATACTTCCCCGATCCAGGCCATCACCCTATATTGCAACCAGTCTCACGGCATTTCGTGTTATAGTCACGAAATAAATTGAATGTATTGATTCGTATTCACCAACACGATTTTCCCCTTTTTCTTCGTGTCACACAGAACGATTTTAAAAGCAATGTATTTCTATTGGTAGTATGTTTCGTGCCTGCACCACGTCTTTTTGTCCGGTCGTGTCTTGGAAGACCGGAAGCTGTGTGGTTCATAAAAACATTTTCTTACTCAATATCAAGCCATGATTATTGTTTTTATTTTAAATTGTATAATGTCGGACTTCTTTTGCCATCCGAAAAAAATGGGGAAATCGTGTTGGTGAACATGAATCAATACTGTAGATCACATTTCATGACTATAACACGAAATGCCGTGAGACTGGGTTGCATATATGCATCTTGGCTGAAATCGTATAGTCTGAACAAGGCATTAAGGTGCTGTGAGGCGGCTTTTGTTCCACGCAGGCAGATCAACACTAGTTGTGGCCATTCTTTACAATGAGCTGCTGGCCGTAGCTCCAGATTCAATGAACAAACATGAGATTGATTCCCCTATCAATCTTTCATCTAGACTTGGCAAGAATGTTGTAAGTGTATTTCCCAGAATGTGAAACTAGTGAAGAGATTTGGGATTTTAATGTTTGCTCTGCACAGTTCAAGCAGAATTGTTGGTTGGAATTGCACAAGAACTTCAAAACAGTATGTTAATTACACTTCAGCTTTAATTTAATTTGCATGGGTGGAGATGTATCATTATGATTATCTCATGGCAAAGTGTCGAGTTTAATGAATAAAGATCTGAGGTGACAACAGCAGAATAAACACACAGTCGGCTGTGCCAAGGTAAGAAGCAGATTGCACAACACAATGAATATCAATGCTCCTGCTCATGTTTCCTGACATCCGCATATTATTATTTTGCTTTCTATCACAACATACCGTTAGCTAAGTATTCAACAAAGCCTTTGAAAGAAGGTACCAATAGTCTGTGTGTCGGAAATGGTGCTATTTTATGTGTCTTTCTGGAGGTAAATTGCTGCCTTTCAGGGTCAAAAACAGGCGTTTCAGCTTTTTTGCATGTCAGGAGCGTTGACGTGTTAAAAACCTCTTTAGTGTGGAAGATTGTTGAAAGCATGCACTTACTCACAGGTTAAGGTTAAAGAATTCACAGTACGATCAGTTCTTCATATGTTTATAATATCGTGTTGACCTCGATCTTTAATGTCATCCATTCAGCAAATGAACAAGGTTGAGACTGTAATTTGCATATAACTCAGTATTATGCAAGATACTTAACCTTGTGGATTCCATTTCTGAAATAATGGGACAAAAACATTCAGAGCTGTGCTACTACTACAAAGGTCGATATAATTTCAGTTTTGGTGCACTTTACTTCTGTAACAATGTGTGAAAATTAGATGGTTAATGAAATATATGTGTTTATAATAAAATAAAAAGGTAATGTATGTTTGTCTATCCCCCAAGGAACTCTTTAAACCTGTTTACCTTCATCAACCGGGAAAATCAGACTTAATACTGAGTCGTGTCTGATTGAAGAGTACTTCACTTGGAGACTTGAATTGTTGTGTGTTGTTCTAGTGGGGTTTTTTGTATTGAAAGTTATATAAACCATACTTTCCTCTATATAAAACAAATACAAAACTCTGCGTGATGCTTCAAGGTTTTCCAACAAGATGTAAAGCTGAGAAGAAATCACTTTCTTCAGTTAAAGTGGTTTGGCAAGAAGAGGTTTGAAAACACGCAGGCAAAAGGGATCGTCCTCTCAGATTTGACAGGACTGGCTGACAGATTATGTAATGAAAGACAACAGGGCCACACAGCTGTACTTGATAGCTGGTAGAAGGTATGCCATTTATTTTAGTGAGAGTAAAAAACAGCAGTCTGTCACCGGCAGAATAACAGGGCGCTTTAAGTTCGTATTGATGTTGTCCTGACTTCAGGTATATAGACGGATGGAGGCAGTTCACATTTTCCCTACATCACATACATCATTCATTTAGGACTTATTTGTTATATTTGATAGATATTTGGAGTAATCCCAACAGAGGCACTACAAAATATACTTGGTTTACACTGAGGAGCACTGGCACATCTGTAATTAATGATGCTATTATATTACACAGGCTATACACTAGGTGTTAAAGCCCCTGTGTGTAGGATTGTCACATTTTCATCTTCTGACTCAAATTGAATCTGCATACCATCAGAATAATTTAAAAGATGCTTTGAAATTGGAATTAACCTCATTATTATTTCAAAAAAGCTTAAACATTAGTGAGAGGCTTCACAGATAAAAGATGAGAGGATGAAAGCTTAACAGTAACATGAATATTGCAGTTTAAAAAAAGGAGAAATTGTACCAAAAAGAATAACAATTAATTGACTTATTCACATAGACTCTCGTTTTGCTGTTGCATGAGTCAGATTGTTACCCATTTCCGAAAGTAGGAGAAAAGGTTTATGAATAAGGTTTTAAGTGTTTAAATGTACAATATTTTATTGGTTGCTCAAATGTAATCTCTAATGTAGTTTCATGTTCCCTTTAAAACTGATTGCTAAATTAGGAGGCAACAAATTACTGTTTTAATGTGACTTTTGACAGAGAGTGACAACAAGCAAAAGGGATTTCACCACAGGCAGAAAGAGCCGGGCCTTGTTCTGCAGATGGAAGCTGTTTGGGTATTAATATTTGATCAAATATACGTTATATATTCTAGACATGATTTTGATATGGGTGGACAGCAGTGAGTTGGAGTATAGTTTGAGAAGTCTCTTTAGTCCTTTAAAGCTTTTTTTAAGTGTCAAAACATGTCAAAGTTGGACTTAACTCTTAACTGTCAGGAAATGTGCGAGACACTTCTCTTTTAAGAGCCACATCTTCAGCCCATGAGGGGTGTGAGTGATGGAAACCAGACAGATCTCTCTGGTCTGCTAAATTAAAACTAATATTTGAAAACCTATTCATTACACAATGAGCAAATACCTCTAGCCTACCTTTTTGTTGGCAGAGGAGGTCTGCTTGACTGCAAACGGACTGAAAAGGTTTGGATGAAAATGTTCTTCATCATCGACTGTCAGTCTTGGGATCGCCGTCATCGGGCGAATAACCCCGGGCTTCGTCTGGAAGGAAGGATTCCAAAAGGAAAGACGATTTAATACTGCTTTCCAAGAAACTAACAGCATTGATGTTAAAGCAATTGCAACGTTAAACTTGATCATTAAGTGAATAAGTACCTTTTTAGGATTCATCAGCTTTCTATTCACACCAGTTGATGGGTGCAAGCTGCAAACAGATGCCTGAATAAAACATTTAGAAGAAACACATTAACACAATTTATTTAACAAAACGTAAGTACTGATAAAAGGAAGTACTGAAGGTTTTATGTAAAGCCAAGTAAAGGTGTAACATTATCAGGCAGCATCTCAGTTTTGTGAATTTAAACTAGCCGACTCTTACTCACATATTTGGTTTCACGTCCCAGGGTTTTTGTAAATGATGAGTTGTTCTGCTAAAAGTCAAAAATAAATATGTGAGAAAAGAAAACAAGGGAGTTGCAAAGCCTGTTATAGTGGGATAGTTCTCCTTTTTTGTTTGTTTTTGCCAGGAAACTTGGAAGAGCTTTCTTCTTTGAGGAATAATGAACAGGTGTTCTTTTATTTCTTGTGAAGATTAGAACAGAACAGAATCCCCTTTTATCTCAGCTTTGTGTTTCGGTATAAAAATAAGAGAATGTTCCCATGGCCCCAAGGTTGCTGAAGTTCTTGTTTTTACTCATTTATTTGAATATTAGTTATAATTGTATTTGAACTGTTTAATAACTTTCTGCATGCTGTTGGGGAGTGTTACAACTACACACTTGTGACATTAACACTGTTTTGCATATACTGTGTTAATACTTTTCTAAAGCATCAAACGTATAAATTAGCATGAAATGAAGCAATATAACAGCTTGGATAGTTGCATGAATTGTACACAGCAAGACAAGAGTAAATAATCAATTATCATATCTAAAAAACGATTCTTCTAAAAAATGTAGACAGGAAAACAACAGCTGTGAGTTTGTGTTACACGCTTTAAAGAAACACTCTTTACCTGCAGACCCACGTTATTAGTCGATGACCGGGATGTTTTGCTCTTAAATTATGAAAAAATAAACCCATTAAATGACTTTTAATATGTAAAAAATCAACATTTGTACATGTTTAATTTCATATCATATAATTGATCTCACTGCTGGAATGGAGTCCGCCAATATCTCATCAATAACGGCATAGAGTTCCTCGGACTGCTGCCGGAGCTCAGCGGGTGAGCACATCTGCAGAAAACAATTGATGTTATTGTACTGTTGTATGATGTGTGCAGTGAAAACCAAAACAGATGTGTGCACTTGTACCTCAGCGTGGGTGTCTGCAACACCTCTGTCAATTGTATCTCCCACATTCAGCCCGTCACACGGACTCTCTTCTCTCTCCACCTGCTCGTTTATTGCCTGTGAATGTAAAGCAGAGTGGACAGATTGAGCTCGTTGCCAAGGCCACTCTGTATTCTGTCTGAGCCCTGCCCCTTCTACTGCTCCGAATGTACCGTACTGCAGCATTAATGACATCTTTTTAAGTCTGATTGGAGTTTTGTTAAGGTTTCAAAACCATCAAATTGCTTTTCCTATACGCTGCATTATTTATATTTCTGTCAAATATAAATGTAATTGTCTGTGTCTGATTATTGGAAACTTGCCATTCAACTTTGCTTTACTTTTCTTAGTATTTTATTTTACAAAAAAAGAGCCTTCTTATAATTATACCAAACATTATACCTTTCGACTGATTTGATTCTCGTCTCCAATTCCTCACTTGTGCTCCACAGCAACATTTAAGTGCCTGCATCATACAGTAGGGCTTCATACGACAGGATCTCAACACGATAACTAGATTATTCAAATGACATTACATTTACATTTTAATTTAGCTTTTATCCAAAGTGACGTACAATAAGTGCAGTCAACCGAGGATACAAATTCAGAATAGCAACATTAGCAGATACATTAGCTTTCAATAAGCCAAACCATTTTAAGTGCTGGTGCACTTGCTTCCAATAAGCTTAGTGGTTACTGGGATTAGAGTCAGGTTATTGAACTCACCTGTTGATCCAACAGAAGGGTGTTTGAGGGAATTGCAGCGAGCGATTTGTAGCTTAACTTAATTCTGTGTGTCTGGAATTATTAGAGAGAGAAGGGTAGACAGTGAATACAAATTATATATAATACACATTTCTGCATTATACTAAAAATAAACTTTGTTGAAATTCATCATGTAACATTTCTTTAGACATGCTTTATCTCACACTGCCACAGGCCACTAATCATGCATAAACAATGAGCCAGGCTCCAGACACCCAACGGGACGAGCATAATGCTGCACAGTGTTGTCTGTCTTCCCGCTGCTCAGCTGGATCATGGACGGACTGTAATTGTCTCTAAAGTCCAGTTCAAACTAACTTTTCCGCACTGACAGGCAACCAAACTTGTTGACTGTGTCCCACATTTACTTATATTTCCAGTAGAAGTTGGATTCCTGATTAATACTCAGTGTTTGCACTACTTGTGTCACTTAACTTCAAGCATGTATGGCTGACCTAGAAAAAGCTTCTGTATCGATGTTCAGATGACGGGTCCCCCCCTGCTTCAACATATGTAATTTCAGATATGTCAATCATTGCAATCGAGCAAACAGATGGAAATCTCTGCGAAGCAAAGATCTATAACAACATGAACAGCAATCTAAAAACAGCTCCACACAGAGAGAACCGCACTTGATATCCAGATATCCAGTGAGTGAAATCTGTTTTTAACAACATAGCCTGTGAGAACACTATGTCACATCTTTAATAATATTATCAGTTTAGACATGCATGTGGCAAGCAGAGTGACTACCTTTCTTTTTTTACCCTCCCTGTCACTGCAGTCGGATATAGCACTCCCTGGCCTCGGGGAGGGCGTGGAGCGCATGGAGAGAGAAGGTGACGGGGTGAAGTCTCTGATTGGTGGAGCAGGAGAGGGCGTAGGCGTGGGGGTGCTTGTGGGTGACAGCCATCCAGGAAAAGCAATGGGTGTGTAGCGGGAAGGAGACAGACAGTGAGCTCTGTGAAAACTAATTGAAGAAGTTGTGGCACTTTTAGAATTAGGGTAGGTTCTTCCTGGCTCACACCAATCTGTGGTGTTTTGTGCAGGTGGTGATGCTCTGTCACAGAACATTTCGACACTGTATGATCGTGATTGTGAAGGCTGAAGGAGAGGAGGGGATCTCAGTTGTCGAGAGAGCGAGTGAAGCTTTGAGGGAGATGAGTTTGGTGGAGGATTCCATTGCTGGGGTGCATAGGTCTCTAGCTCATTATTAACTTTAGGGGATGGGGAGATTCGTGTTTTCAGGTTCTGGTCTGAAGGGCCCTTGAGGTACATTTGAGTGATGATGGGTTTCATCTCAGGCGACTTGGAAATAGACCTGTGTGTGTGTTGCAGCTTTTGGTTTATGTCTTCATGCTTTAAGGGAGGAACAGATTTGAAATTTGAGCAAAATAATGGAGGAGCTCGAGGCAGCACGCTCTTCACTCCCGGGGGTGAAATAACCTGCTGCCATCTAGGCGCACTACTAGTTTTCTCAGAGCTTGTTTCCGCCTTAGTATGAAAGCATGTTCCGCCGGGCTCATTCGACTTCACAGGTGGTGGAGCTGTGGCGCATCTATTAGGCTCCCTGTGAACGTGGCTCTGACTATCTATAGACGCTGATGAAGAGAACCGAGATGAAAACTCAAGGGGAATAGAGGCCACACTGGAGGCCGCTGAGCATGCGTTACAGAAAGACAGGGTCACGGGGTTAATAGGCCAGCAGGGGGTGTAAGGCCTCTGCAGAGAAGGGGACAGGATAGGAAGACGGCCTTTTCTCAGGATGGCAGTGAGGAGGGAGAGTCGGGTGAGAGGAGGCCGGTGCCGGGGAGGAGGAGGAGGAGGGGACTGGGGATCCACGGAGGAGGAGAGGCTCTCGCAGGATGAAAAACAAGGGGTGTGGATCAGACTAGAGCCAGGAGCAAGGAAGTGTCTCTTTATCTGAATGACACTAGGTGTGAAAGTGCCCGAGCGGACAGATGAGCAGGGAGATACAGTGCGGCTGAGACAGAATGGAGAGGTGAGAGAGGAAAGCTCCATGGCCGACCAGCTCTTCTCTCTGTCCGAGCCCTCGGAGAGGATGGACTCTCTGGATGAAGACAGGGTGGGGAACAGGTCTGCCGAGTTGGTTGGGCTCATTCTGTCTTCTGACACAGACGCTATATTTGCAAAGAAACCTGAGCTAACCTCAGCAAGTCCAGAGGTACCGCCATACTGCCACTGGGAAATATCCCTGTGTTGATCAACAGCTGTTTCCATAGTGGCAGTGACGGGGTTGGTGGTATTTTCAGAGGGAACACTGACTGAAGAAGAGGCTTCGGTTTGAGAGGTGCTCATATGACCCAGTGCAGGCTGAAAGAACAAAACAGTATTTAATAAATGATAACTGATGTGTGTGTGTGTTTTTTTTCAGAGCTTCATTTGAAATTCTTTAAATCAGCGTGACCAACGTTGGTGCAGAGAAGAGAAACACTTTCATGAATTCAGTATCTGAAACAAACACAATAAACCCATGATAGAGTAGAAACTTAGTATTTCCATTTTAACCTATTATTCTAATTAAAATGTCTATACGTTGGACTGTCACAACCATTTATTTTTCCCTTCTTAAAATGCCTTATGTATGCCAAACTTGTGTGTATAATTGCCCTGCATAGTTACACAGATATAGACATGCAGATATATATATATAGTATTACACACAAATGCACATATGTACATTTTAATATGTCAATAACAAAGATTTCTGTCATAGTTTCTGCTTGACATTGACAGTGCTTTTGTTGTACTTACTCGTAGTTTTGTCCCTGGCTGGATTTTGTTTCCTAATCCTCCCTCCGTGGAGTCTTTGATAAAGACTTTGAAAATGTCCCTCTGCAACATGGTCTCCCCAGTTGTCTTCTCATGGGACACAGTAAAATTCTGACAGGAGAAAATAAGGCAAATGTTAAGGAGGAACTGAGCGAGTGAAACCTGAGAAAACCCGAGGTGAACTTGAGCGAGCCTCTCTGAGCTCAGGGGGTGTGCTTGCATGGTTTCATCACATGCCCCACACATATAGTTCACACATACTGCGTGTACATGCCCTGCTGACGGGGGTTGAGTACAAGCCTTAAATGCAGAACAGAGCAACTGAGGAGAAGCCTGCCAATCATTTAACGCCAGCTCTTCTTGGTACTATCCTGTGAATTCTAATTTAATTAAATACTATCCAAAGCCAAGGGATTAAAGCTGCAAAGCATTACTTTCTGAAAGATAAGAGGTGATATTAAATGGTGTTTGAAGATTATAGAGTCCAGAGTATGTGTGTGGAATAAATAAAAATAAATAAAAACCTTGGCTAGGCAGGGCACTTCTTTTATTATTTGTCATGTGTTGCTTAATGTTAGTAGAAGAAAGCCTGTTGTACAAGCTAATAGGTCATTGAATTTACGCTAAGCTCCCTCTTTGGTTATTGTTGCTATAGGCTTTTGAAGCTTTTGTATCTAGCCTGTCTCGTGCCGTTTTAAACCAAGAAGGGAATAATAGCACATTGAATTGTATGCATTTGAAAGCTATATTTACAGTATAATTTGTCGGGGGTTGTAAAAACACAAGGTTTAAAAAACCTAAACTACCTAAGTCTCTGTGCAACAGGTATCAATATAACACATGCCCAAGGCAGAAAAGCTTACCACAACTAGCTCAAATTACACAGAATCGGCAGAAATAATAGCTACATTATGATTGGTCAGTCATAAGTTTCAGGGGTGAAAATAATTAATGGGTCGTTTCCACCTTTGATGAAAAGTTACATGGAAAAATAATGTCAGTATACTTTGAAAAAGGGGGAAAATAAATCCTTAAATCCACTTTATCTTTTTTTGTGTTCAGGTAATTTTTGTAACCAAAAACATTTAAAACTGTATGGCTATAAAATCTAAAGAATGAGCTAGACATTGTTTGGAAATAATTTTCTTCTTGCAAAGAATTAGATCGAAAGATGGAAACCACTCTCATGTTTGCAGGGATTGTCGAACTACATCGAGTAGCAGCTATCTTAACTTCACATAAATAAATGCCTGAAAACAGGGGAAAAAACTCAGTCCAAAGGTATCTATAAAAGATAAAGGTATATCAACATACCAGCCTCTCTAAAGATAACCATTTAATATATATCTCAATATCTCATTTGGCAAATTACATTACATTGCATTGCATTTAGCTGACGCTTTTATCCAAAGCGACTTAGTGCATTTGACCAGGAAGATACAAACTTGAGGAAAACAGAATCATATAAGTACATCAGGTTTCATAGAGCCAAAACATTTCAAGTCCTACTCAACTAGCTTTAGATAAGCCAGTCCTTTGTTAGTATATAAGTGCTTTGTTAGTACTTTGTTAGTAATTCTATCGCTCGAAGTGGAGTCGAAAGAGATGAGTTTTCAGTCTGCGCCGGAAGATGTGTAGGCTATCTGCTGTCCTGATTTCAATGGGGAGCTCGTTCCACCATTTTGGAGCCAGGATAGCAAACCTGAAACTCAGAACCAGGCTTTTTCTGGTTCTAAGTTTAATTAATATCTGGTGTTTGAGTGACACTTGGTCCATATGCTAAGTTAATTCAATGCTACCTCTAGGTGGTCTTGTAAAATACATTATATAACAGAATGATGGGATTAAACGGATTTAGCAAGATTACCATTATTTATTGTAACTCCACTTCGTGATCAATTTTTCCGTGAGAACAAACTTCATTTACAATCCCCTGCAGATCTATAATTTCAGGCCATTACAAATGATGGGATATAATTCAAATAGTTGTGGTTGATTATATGCGAACTATAATGAAAATAATAATGTAGGATAATATGTGGGATATTTCAGTGGAGCTAAAAAAGGTCATTACTGACATGGACTCCCACATTTATGGTAATTATGAGCTTTAAATATACATGACACCACATGATAATGACATCCCTTCAAATTCCCTTCAACATCCCTGGAAAGGAATCCAACAGTTCTGTTCCCATACTGCAGATAGGCAGTAGTCAGTCAAAGGAAAGGCTGCCTGACACTTATTTCTGGGGCTATATTAACATAAATGGCAGTGCAAGTGATTGAAGTGCTAGAGTGAGTCACTGTACGTTTTTCAAGCATAAACACATTGATGTCTTAGTCTTGCACAAACATAATGATACTGTAATAACTCAGTAGGCTGTAATTATAGATTTCCAAAACACAATACAATTTAAATGTATATTACAAGAATTGCTGTTAGAGTGTTTTAGCGGCACAGTGAAGTCACGCAAGAGTGATCAATTATAGCTATTTTGGCATGGATTCATATGTTTTTAATTTGTTATCACATTTGGCAAGATTAAGCATTCAAGCTACATTTGTGACAAATAAGGATTTGCTTAATTTATTCTGGATGCTTTTCATTAGCTGAACTAATGGCACATTTCCACTGCAGCGGGGTAGCCCCATTTAAGCGTCCCTAAGCATCCTCGCTCAGGCCTCGGGCTGCCTCGCTGGCCGTCCGAGGCCGTGGTGCATTTCCATTACAGTTTAGGACCCGGGGTAGCAACGCAGTGTAGGCGGGGGGGAGATGTAGGAACGTCGTCACCTCCTCGGTCGACCACGGTGTGCTTTTCTTTGACGTTGCCATTTTTGTAGCTCCTCCGTTTACAAAAATGCTGTGTATAAAAATGCTACAAGCTTGCTTCTAGATATATATGCGACGCTAGGGATGATCTCGCACGCGATCTTATGACGATTCTCTCTGACTAATCAGCAGTCGAGAGTGTTGGCGTCAGTAGTTCAGCTCTGGCCCTGGCCTGATAGAACAACGATTTTACGGGGCCGGAAAAAGAGGGAAAAAGTACCCGCTAGCCGGTGCTACGCTATATGGAAAGGCCACTAGAAACTGGCCTGGCCGCTTGAGGACGATTAAGGACGCTTAAACGGGGCTACCCGCTGCAGTGGAAATGCGCCATTAGTGTCTTCCTCTGGCTCGAAACTGAATAAAAATCTGAGAGTAGTTCAGAAACACAAGTATTTGCTACCTCTTCAACTAATTTAGTCTGTTTGAAGATCTGTGATGCACAATGTGACGAGAAGGAAGAGAGAAAACAACTTCTTATTTGAAGAAAGAAGGGATAATTATGCAGGGAAGTGAACCTATAGTGACATACCTCAGACTTCAAATCAATGGTGCCCACATAGAATGTAAACTGATAATGACCGAGCTTAAACTCTAATTGAAATCTAAAGAGGGGCACATATGCCTTACGTTTCTTTTGAACAGACCTAATGAGAAGTGCATGCTGTGAATCACAGCGGTGGATTAATGAGCTGCCGACTGTCTCAAAGTACTCCTTTACATTCAGCCTTCTGGCAACTAAATGTGGAAGCTGTCTCTCAGCAGGGAGTATCAAGAATCTGTCATGCGTTTAAGTGAATGTAACGCAGCAATATAAAAAGCAGGTGTGACAAAGCCAAAAAAACGGATCTTGTGCCAGGACTCTGCTGTTTTATTTAATTTTTTTATTTAACCTTTATTTAACCAGATAAAAGCATTGAGATAAAATCTCCTTTACAATGCTGACCTGGCCAAGAAGGCAGCAACATTACACATTATTACACATAACACAGACATATAAAATATAGAGAACACAACTAAGTAAACAAAAAGCAGTCACTACATTGTGCACATTTGGGACTGGAAGAAAGGTACTACTTATTACTGCAAGAGCAGCTGGTGGTAAGGACCTCAGACAACTTCAATTTATAACATGCTATTGGGACAAGTGCCATCAGTTTGAGGTTTGATTGAAGGTCATTCCAAGACCGAGGACCATAATAAAAAAAGACTACTTTTTCCATGAGTGCAGAGGAGAAACAGATGACTGTGCAGTCCAACGAGATAAAGCTCACAAATAAAGGTCCTAAGCCGTGTTGGGAGTATTTCTGATGCTCATAAATAGATGAAAGGTGCTCAGAATCATGAAGTGAACACATTTAACACATAGCAGCCCTTCCATATAACATATAAGTGCTGCCTGTACAATAACGTGATTTACTATAATTTAAAATCATTTTTTCATACATGAAGAAACTTTAACAATATATTATCATTAAGCGTTCAAATAAATTCCCATTTTAATTTTGAATGAATCACATTTCCAGTATGAGCACTATCCATTAAATCATTAGGGCTTTAAAGTCGTGGACTGACTTTGTTTTTAGTATGTTTTGTTTTGAGTATATCCAACCGATATAACATCATGTATGAGCGTTCAGGGGCCACCAGGAAGATTTAGTTTTGGTTGGAGGTCGTCAGCAGTTTTCAAGCTTTATCCAGTCTTATGTGAAGCTAAGCTAACCGCTGCTGGAGGTAAAGCTGTCCATCTAACCTATACAGACAAGAAAAACATGGTAATTCACATCTTGCTAAACTTTTGGAATAAAGTATTTCGTCTAACATGCTTTCAACAAAATACAACTGACTTAAGAACACAAGATAGTATCGTTCCAAGATTTATTTATTCTAATATAATTTAGTCCTCCCGAATGATACTCCTGCACCACGGGACCTAATCGCCAAAACTCCATTACATTCATTTGTGTATTCCTGGCAATAAATATGTATACCTACCTACATAAAAAACCGTCTCTCCTGATTGAAAAAGCATTAGGGGTAAAAGTCCTCATTGCAGAAAAAACTACCATTCCAAATCTTCACATTCAAGAAGCTGGAACTGTGAAATATATTTGAAGAAAAAGCTTTGTAGCAAAAATGTTGCCAATTTATGTCCTGTTAAACCACCAATGGTTTTAGTTACTTAATGAATTAATAAATAACTAGTAAATACATCTGTAAAATAAATATAGTGGAGTAAAAAGTACAAAAGCTGTTTTCAAAATGTAATAGAGCAGAAGTG